GAACAGTGAAATACAATACAGTAAAAATTATATATTGCGTTGATATTTAATAAATCTAACATAAGAAATAAAAACTGATATATTTAAATGTGAAATCGAAACTTCATTTATAATAAAAAGCATTTGATGTAATAAATATTTTATTCTTATTTGAATCATGATGAAAACAATGTAGTTACTGTTGTAACTTAATAATAAGATAAGATATAAATAATGAGACAATTTAAGATTGCTAATTAGGTAGTGTCATACCAATTGGTTTATTCATATTAAAAGTAGTTTTCGTCAGACTAAAGGCCATGTTATGATTGCAGTTACAGTCATCCAATTCTTTCAATTTGTGGACGTCATGGTTTTGTTTGTTTCGGTTGCAGTCACTACAAGAATACCAAAACTTTAATGCTATGTTGCTAATTTTTATTTTGAAAAATGGAAACTGTTGAACATTTCGGATTTCGATAAAAGGTATACTTTAATTTTTGAACATTTAAAAAATGTAAAATATGTTACATTTAAGCTAGAAGAACATAGAGAGAAAAGTTTACAAAGGTGATTCAAACTATATCGCATTCATAAAGTAAATTTAGTATACTTTGTTAGTTATATATAAAGTAATATTCATATATTCATATTATGTATAATAATTTAATAAGGTTATTTTTGAAATGTTGGTAAGTTAAATGTAAGTAATAGAAAATAAGCGAAAATAGAAAAATTTATAACTCTTTATACAGAAATTATTGAATTTATAAATCCTTTATATAATTCATTACAAATCTTGAAAAATAAAGAAGAATTATTTCATTTTTCATTCTCTAAACGATATATTACATTTTTAAAACACATTCAATTGTATTTCCAGAGTGTACTCAAAATATTAAAATTTGACAAAATATTCAACGTAGCCAGCTAGAATCTGCATTTTGGTTAATTGAAATACATATATTTATTGTATTGCAATTTATCAATAGATATTAATGCCAGCCATCAACTAGAAAATACAAAGAGAACAAATACATACCGTATGATTGAGAGATACAAAATATTTGCCACATCTAGAACTGCAGTGAAAATGACAACTAATCAAAGTTGGCAATGCGGCCAATAAGCAAGCTGACAGCAGATTTTTTGTACGATAGGAAAGTGCATTATTTGTTTTTCAATTATATTATTAAATTTATTATTTTAATGTAATATGTATAATTCATGATGAGTAATACATCAGATTCAGGAGATAGTGTGAATTGTGAAAATAAAACTGTTAGGGAAAGTAATTTTTCAGTTGTGGCATTAGATTCTTTAAAAGAATTCGATCAAGAACAGTTATTTCAATATGTCCAAAAGCTTCAACCGCTCTACTTGAAGTGCAAGAAAAAATTACAAAATTTCAAAAACAGAGCAAAACTTCTGGTAAATAATAATAATTATTTATTTAATATAATATGTGTACTATATTTTATGTTCTCTTAAGGAAAAAACAGTTCAACTTTTGAATGATGATAAAAGCCAAAACGCTGGAGAAAACACAAATGAGGAAAATAAAGACTCCCTAACTCAAACTGAAGACGCGCAAAAAGAACAAAAAGATGTTTGTAAGTAAAACCTTTAAATGTATGACCGAATAATATAGTAAGAATATGATAACAAATAGCAAATCGCATAACTGTAGGAATACTTTAGGGACTTCCTTCGATTATTGTAGTTGTAACCTGTATTTCTGTGTCGGCTGAACTTCAAAAGGAGGTAATGGTCGCTGAGTGGCTTTAGTATGTAAACTCGGTCGATTTTGGATCCGGAACTAAATTTTAACTGTCACTATTCTATATTGAGTTAATTATGTTGCAAGTGTTGCAAATTTTGTTCCAGCAATGTTGTAGAAAGCTACAATCACTGTTCTGAGACAAAATATTGTTTTTTTGCATGAATCTTACATATTACTAACATAATTAAACATGAGTTCAAATTACTGTTGTAATTTTTTACACTGATTTCTAGCAGTGTATATAAGGCAGTGTTATATATTTAGAAAAAAGTCAGTTTATTTGCGACTGTGTTGGGGTTATAATTTTCTGCCACAAATTTTCTGTATATGTCATGTCTTATCCACGTCTTATCCAGAACATAAAACTGGCTATACATCCTAAAATATATATACTAAAATAAAAATGATGGAACAGGGATAAAATTTGCAAGAGCTATCATTAAGATATATTATATTATAAGATAATCATTAGGTACTTGTCAAGATAAAATGCGTGACAGCTCTAAATGATATTAGCGGCTCTCAGAGTATTGTAAAATACGACACTGCAGCAGAATGATTTTAAAGGATGCTGCAGGGCCAACAAATTAGAAAGATGGAATGCAAATCTATCCCTACATAACGACAGCATCGATATTGGAATATCTAACGCAATTTTTATATTAACAAGTAAAAGTTAAGCACGTTGCTATGTACTGATCTCAATTGAGTTCGGACAGTACTTGCAACAAGGGAGTCATCGTTCTGCCTAAAAGCTGTTTAGCGGGGCTTGTTAAGAATTTTGTTTTTGCCAACCTTGGTCTTTAAGATGATATTGCCACTGTAAATTCTTGACCTCACGTTTATATTGTTGTTGTAACCCACTTGGAACTATTTGTGGCTTCTTGGGAGGTGTCGAACGGCACTTGATCGTCGTTGGCAAAGAGTGGCTGTGTACATAGACCTGACAATTCTCTTCTAAGTAGGCATGGTATCAGTCGAGGAGTGTTTATACTTGTAGAAGAAAAAAGAAATACTTTAACACTTCTTCTGTACTAGAATACATGTAGTTAAGAACAGCATTAGGTCCTAAGACAATTATGCTTTTAATTTTCTCAAGGAAGTACACAATATAAGCTTAATCAGATTTTGTGGTTAAAAGATTTGCGAAATGATTTTTAAAGTAATATCACTCAAGGTCTCGCGTCAAGAAGTATTATAACAACGGATCTGTGGAGTTCTAAATGAATTAATGAACTAAACTGCCACAATAACCTAACTCAACCTAAGCTATTAAAGTATTTTTAATATTTATTTTCTTAATAATCATATATTCATTTTTCAAGTATTAGCTATGAATTAAAATTACAGACTTTACATATCTATCTTTGGTTATTCATTAACCGATTAAAGTCTGCCTTAAGTCCGCTCTTACGATTTTGATGAAATTTTAATGTATTTCTATTAGAGATCATAGAAGTTAAATCAAACATTTTTTTGACATCTGGAAATATTCCTGAGATATAGCATAGGTATTTAAATACCTAACGCGTTGGTGTGTTAATTCTTCTATTAATTTTACATAATTTGCATCTCTATTGCATATAGAACACATTAAATTGCCTAATAATGGTGAGGGGTTCTGTGTTTTTCTCATTACCCAATATTTCGCAACAGTTTTGCCAAGCATTTTCCGACATAAAAAAACCATGATTTCAACCTCTGAAAAACTAACGTTAACCAGGTAAAAATTATGCTGTTCTATTTTTATGTTATAGGTTCATCCTTGCCCTTTACTATAAAAAAAAAATTTTTTTTATGATATCTTTTACTTAGATCGCACTAGCATAGTTGACGTGTCTACACTTTAACGGGTATTTAAATATCCACTATGCTAAAATGGGTTTAAAAAAACCGATATATATGATAGCATTTATTAAATTACACAAAGAATCAATAGAAAGAAAGAGAAGTATGAGTAGGTAAATGTTAACGATTTCCGTTAATATACCGTCTATATATTGTCTATAGACCATCTATGATTGTCAATCATTTGCTATAAAAAATTTCACTAGAAAAGGACAGTGATGCAACAACAAAACACATTATGAAACCGGTTTCAGGTTTTTAGTAAAATGGACAATACTATTTGTATAAGCATAGCTGTGTTATAGTAGATCAGTTATTCGTGGCTTGAAAATCTGTTTTATAGTTTCATGTGACTAACTATTTTTTGTGTTATCTGCTTTCAGTTCGTATTCAAGTACAGTTGTCTCTGTTGTATTATATAGAATCCCAATTATTTAAAACATTGATACTTAAAACAAAAAATTATAATTTTAAAATATTTATTAGAGAAAAATCAACTTATGTACTAAGATTTCAGTATTCTAAAATAGGAATTATTTCTGACGACTGGCGACGGCAGCAACTAAAGCAGCTCCTCGTCCAGATCCATCCTCCGAAAGCATTATATCAAATTTAATGCCGGGGGTTACAAATTTACGCATAGTTACACGCATGTAAGCATCAAATTTCGGATGATGTTTATACACAGAACCATCCACACCTATGACAACGTTCGGTTCGTTGATTCTATTCACCAGTCCGGCTAAGCCTACAGCAACTAAATTAGCAGCTCGTTGCGCTACGCACTCACACATGAATCTTAATTTCTGGCAGTCTTCTATATTCACTTTTTCCGATCCAAAAAGTTCTTTTAGTATATTTTTCGTATTTGTAAAATCAGGAAAGGTGTCTGCCTCGATTCTAGATAACATTTCTGTTTTAAAACAACCCACTTCCTTGTTCAATACTTCCAAAATTTTGTTTTTATTTGCTGAGCGTAGAAACATAAGATTCTCTTTAGTGGCCTTATGCAGTGCAAGGCGTACAAGTTCTCCCAGATACATTCCTTTAAAAAAAGTAAAAATAATAATAATTGATTTATTAAAAGTATAATAAAATCTTAGCATTTTTGCAATGGGAATATTTTTCTAAGAGTTACATGATTTTGGCATGAAAATTTGAAACATATGCCTAAGGTTTAATGTCGCTTTCTGACTTTATCAGCTCATATCATATCATATGCATATGTTATCACAACTAAATTACCATCACATATACAAAATATTGAATAAAAACATTAGCTCATTAATGTTGTTTGACACACCTCAAAAATATAAACAATGCCATAAAGCTTTATTCGATATCAGTGGATAAGATCTTTAAAGATATGGATTCTTGGAATTATTTTTATAAATTGCACGTAATCCAATAATTCCATTGAAAAATATTTTTATGGGATTGATAAGGAAGGCAGTATCAAAACGCTACATTTTCTATGTTTTTATTATCTGCTCACTTTGTTTAGTTTTAGGATCTGTTTTTTTTAAATCTCTTTGATGCCCTACTAAGAGAAGTCCACGTTCTTTATGTAAAGTGCCTGAAGAATGATTTGATTTATAATTTGTAAGCATTCGTTTGTTGATGAATTTATGCACTTTCGATCTGAAATATACAGATTATATTAATAAAATCTTGGTGGATTAAGTGGAAAAACGTTAACAGAACATTTCAATTTGATGAAAAGGTTTAATAGTATGTAAAATTAGCTTAAATATATGTGTTCTTATAGGTCAATCTCCCCAAACAATGGGAATTATTTTGGGAACTTCAATTTGGTTTGTGTTAATATGTATAGTCAGAAGTTTTAGTATGGAATAATAAAGACCAACTTGATGGTACTAGGTTATGTTTTAAATATCTGCTGAGAAGTATGATCGATATATGACGAGCGTTGATTATGTTCCTAATACTGGTACATAACTTAGTAGAGGAAAAAAAACAGACTGTGATAACTGTTGGTTTTATATAATATAGAAAGTGGATTAGGTACGGTCATGAAGATTGTGTACTTTGTTTTTAATCCTAAGTTGTTGAAATAATGCCAACAACAGTAGGCATAATATCTGGATAATGAATAATGATATTGGATACCATACTATCCTTTAAGGATAATCTTTATGCATATTAATAAAAGCATATTCAGCCTGTGTTGCTTTCTCAATGATCAGCAAATAGAGTCCGAAAAAATAATATCCTTACAGCAGTAATAAAATCTTGGTGGTATTATTTACGGATAAGATCCTGAACATAAATATCCCTGTAGTATTATCTAGGGACAAGATTCTTTAGATAAATATATGTAATTGAATTCCCATAAGCTGGGAATACTACATGCTATATAGCAATCTATAATAATAACCAACTATCAATGAAAAACAGTTTGCGATTATCTCATACCGATTTTTTAAACAGGTATATAATTTCTAATATTGTATAATGTCATGTCCGAAACAATCATTTTTGATTCTCTTGCTTACTGAAAATGTATAGACTTTATCAAGCGAAATCTGAGTAATAAATCTTAATTTGTGATAAACAGTACAAATAGTGACATAGACATAGTCTAGTCCATTTAATTTTATACTTAATTTTTTAATGTCGGGAACCCATAGGTCTCGAATTATTACTATTAAATATCAATGAATAATATAGTTTTGTTGTTTTTGTATTTGGACAAAGAATTTGGTTTTTGAGACAGAGCAAAAAATAAATATATAAATAAAATGAATGATGTAATTGTTAGGTTATGTTGTCGTTATTCACGATAATTTATGCAAACACTTTGGTTAAGAAGAGAGTCATTGTGCCGTAGCATAAACTCTGATTTGAAACTTATCCTCGAAATCAAGGAATCCAATCGACTTTAAAATATATTTATCATCTATCTCAGTAGCGTTGATATAGGTGGAGAATTATTTATGGGATCCTGGGAACTATTCAGCATGAAATTTTCATAATACAAAAGCTATGTTACTTATAAAGTAATATATTATATATTAAAAAATATAAAACATAATAATAAAAAGATATTTATATGGAACTATTTTTTAAAAGCTAATTTCTTCAATTTTCAAATAGTCCTTTTAAATAGAGTAGGCTTTATACTCCCAATCATTTCGGAGTACAGACTATGCAGAGTAGTTCAGAGTACTTATTCATCTCGTAAAGTAAACAATTTATATATATATTTATATATCGCATTAACTTTTTTGATATATTGCTGTGCCAGTTGGATAAATGTATTTATTTTAAATCTTTCCTTAGATTGAATATATTCTTTTTATAACAAAATCTTTCCTTAGGAGTGAATATATACTTTCCATATTAAACAAAATTTAAAATTGATATGTATATTACTTAAAGCTTAATGATATCGTCTCTATATTATTTTAACATTATTAGTATTTTCGTGAAAATTTATTTTTTAAAATTATTTGTACTTTAAAATTTGTTACTTATATTGAATATATTATATTTCAGATTAAAAAGCATATGTTGTATAATTTATTCAAATCATTTTACGTGTAATACAAAAATATAATCTAAACTTGAACTAATAGAAATTATACCCTTGTAACCCCTCAAGGGCAAAAATTTACTATACAATACAATAGATAGTAAAACAGTGATAACAGTGATAGTTTGACTCTCTTCTACTCTTATGTTTAAATATTACGTTACATGATCGTTTGTCAGAGAGAAAGAGAGAGAGAGAGAGAGATAGAGAAAGAATGAGTATATTATATTTTATAAAATATAATACCGTTATACTCTTATAGATTCTAATATTTTATTTAGTATTCTGTAGTCTAATGGACGCTCTTTATATGTAGATCCGTGCTGAATGAAAGATAAAGCGAGCTAATCTAATAAATAACTTGATATGAACAATATTCTGTGTTTTCTCTGACGTCTCTTAATTTTCGTTAATTGAAATTTGATAACTCATTTTAAGTGAAGATAGGAGGGAGTAGGAACTTAAAGTCATTTAAACAATTATGATTAAATTCTTATAAAAGAAATTTTTATCTTTAAAGGCAATCTATTCATTCATTTATTGCCATTCAAGCAAACACCGTCCCACTTCACTAATTCAGTCAAATTTTTACGGAAATTTACAACAAAATTGTAAATAAATGAAAATAATTAAAAATATAGTTATATTTAAATAAAATTTTAAAAAATAATTTTGTTTTTTTAACGAACTTTTTAAAAAAAATTTTTATTTTTTTAAAGGATTTTATTTATTTTTTTAACTATTGACCAATTAGCCCTTCGAAAAATAAAATTATTATTAAAAAATTTATTATTTTAAATAAAGTGAAAATTTTAATTATTTAAATAAATTACCTGATATCATTTTCTCATAAAGTTGTTGACCAATATTTGGACTCATTTTATCGACTATTCGATCATAATCAGTACGTACAAATTCTAATAATCCACTATCGCCAAATGCACCCCATTCAACGTTGATGATAACTTTTTTTTTGGTACGCTTTAGTTCGGGTTCCAATAAATCAACACAATCCACATTTTCCACATAACAAGCATTACAACCGGTACCGACAATTAAACCAATACGACAGTTGGCATTGCGATGTGCGCAGGACATAAGTGTACCCGTTGTATCATTAAGTAATGCTAATACCTCAATTTCCGTATTACCTCGTCGCGCTATTGCTTCCTTAAGTAAACGACCAACATCTTCATTTTCTGTATTGGAACACTGAAAACCTTTTGTCCACCGTACCAACATAGACTTCTTGAGTCCCAATTGCACACAAGGAAATGAGAATGTAAAACCCAAGGGTAGATAAGATTCGCCCACTTGCTGAGCTTTAACAAAATCATCCAAACACTTTGCTATATGATCAAATAGTTGTTCACCGGTGCCAACTAATATTTCTTGTGGTATAGGATACGTGTTAGACACAATGGTAGCATCGTGATGACCTTTGAGCGTTACGAGTAGAACCCGAAAATTTGTGCCACCCAAATCGAGTGCCAAAAATTTACCTCTCTCATCACCGTTGGGCAGATCTTGTACGTAAGTAATGAAACATTTTGTATCGGCTTTTGCGTGGGTGTCTTTGTTTAATCCTTTGCGGATTTCATTACCAAAACGATTGTACACTTCCTTCAGCTGTGAATCGCTGAGTGTAAACTCTTTCATAAATTCCTTCAATCGTGGATCTTGCATGATTGATCGATTATTGCTAACCAAACGTTCCAACTTTCCGTGTTCACTAACAAAGTGCAACTAATTAATGTATTTGCTGTTCTTAACGCTTTGCTAGGTGTCATTGCAATTTGCTTAGAACTGCGAGCGTTAGAAAACAGATTCAGAGTCAATGTAAATGATTATTTATGATAAGAAAGTTACTTTTTTTTGTTTTTATTTAATTTTATTATTTTTTTATGGTATTTAAGTTAGCACTTATGCGCAATTTAGTTTTAAATTTAATTTTCATTTTGAGCTTCCTAACTTTTTGCACAATGGGAAAATTTTGTATAAAATTTAATTATATATAATTTTAAATATTTTTTTTAATTTTGATTGTATTGAGATATTTCTGAACGTTTAAGTTGGTCGAAATAGTGGGCGCTAATCTAAAATTTCAGTCCGAAGTCTAATAAGTAGTGTTTGAGTCAAAGATTTTAATGATTAAACTTTTGTACATTACGACTTAAACTAAAAAATAGTATCTTATCTCCTTGCATTAATAATAATAAAATTTATTATACATATATATAGGGGATTTCTATGTCCTATATAGTGATTAGTAGGTGATTTACTTATAGAAGTTTCTTTTGTTTTTATTTTGTGTCATATAAACAGGGACCGAAAATAATAATTATTTTGAACATTTATAGGAAAAAAAGCAGCAACATAACGTTGTCTGAATTCTTATTTAAGTATATAGGTATCATTCTAACTACTTTCATCTTTAATATAAAAAAAAATTTAAAAAAAATAAAAAAAAATAAAAAAAAAAAATAAAAAAAAATAAAAAAAAAATAATAAAAAAAAAATAAAAAAAAATAATAAATAAAATAATAAATAAAATATTTAGAATGCCCAATGCCAAAACTGCCAGAATGCAAAAAATAATAGTTATTCTTGAGTTTTATATTTTTAAGGATAAATACTAATTATCATAACATAATAATATATAAAATAGAATATTATAAGATAATAATAATAAAATAAAAATGTAATAAAATAATAATAATAAAATAATAATAATAATATAATAATAATAAAATAATAAAAATAATAAAATAACAATTATAAAATAATAATAATCATAAAATAACAATAATAATAAAATAATGCTCAATGCCAAAAATGTCAGAATGCAAAAAATAATAGTTATTTTTGAGTTTTATATTTTTAACGAAAAAATGGTAATTATCATAACATAATAATATATAAAATAGAATATTATAAAATAATAATAATAAAATAATAATAATAAAATATTAATAATAATATAATAATAATAAAATAATAATAATAAAATAATAATAATAATAAAATAACAATATATTATTATTATAAAATAATAATAATCATAAAATAACAATAATAATAAAATAATGCCGAATGCCAAAAATGCCAGAATGCAAAAAATAATAGTTATTCTTGAGTTTTATATTTTTAAGGAAAAATATTATAGAATAATAATGATAATAAAATAATAATAATGAAATAATAATAATCAAATAATAATTATAATAAAATAATAATAATAAAATAATAATAAAATAATAATAATAAAATAATGATAATAAAATAACAATAATAAAATAAAAAGCGAGTATATATATGAGTTATAATTGTGTGTGGAAAAGTAAAAGACACGTAATAATAATTATTTTTGAAAAATATAATATAAAACAAATTTAATTATTAATTTTTGAGTTTTATTTTAAAATGCGAATGATAAGAGTTCTAAGTTGATTTATATTTTTTAAATGATAACTGTTATGGTCCGTGAATATAAATTATTAAACTTAATAACGGTATTAAATAAAAACGTATATAAAGCCTTTATTTAAACGTTTATCATGTGAACATTTGTGCCAAAATATCAATTGTATTTATCTAATGTATTACATATTTTTTACGCATATTACATATCAACTCAATTACTTCATAAATCGGTTCTGATGGTTCAGTATACTTAGCAGATAAAAAATATAGTCGCGACGCTGTTTATTATAGCTTGATCAATATGAATTTATGTATCTTGTGACTGAGTAGCTTATTGTTTACGTATATAAAAAATAAGTTTTTAATAAGTTTTATAGTTAGGATGGATGAGACATCCAGCCAGCCTAATCAGAAACTTACTGTCGCCAGTTGGTAAAACTGCCTTCATATAGTTGGTCATACTATATTAAAAAAATTAATACATACATAAGCTTGGCGTTGTTCCTTGAGATCCACAACCATTTCTTTTACTTGCACTAAAGTGATTTCATAACTTTTCGTCGTCTCTATTTTTTGGATATAGAAATTTTGAACTTTCTCCTTGTAAGTCTCAGTCATCCTCATTTGAAGAAATAAGGTGCCATAAATCTAAATATCTCCAGAAGTTCATTTACAATTTCCAAAATGTTTAAATTCAAAGTCCTAAATACCGCTCTCTATATCATGTTGTTATTCTCTACATATACTGTTATAATTTGTGGTCGTCGAGCTAAGAGAGGTTACTAATTCTTCATTAAGTTCTCTAATCATTCTTCTTTTTTTATTTTTTTATTCTTATACGTGTTATGGACGTGTTGGGATGCCAGTTATGGTTTCTGAAAGTGTTTGTATCATTCATAAACTCGTAGTTGTTGCATAGCATCGTCACTAAAAGTCTTCTGTAGTGTTTGAATTGTGGCACTAAATTTCACACAAACTCTCCGATCCGAAATAAAATTAAAAAGTCAAACAAATTTATTTAATAGGACCTTTTTGTACCAGTCTGCTATTTTAACCTTACCTAACTATTCCTCAATAAGTTTTTAGTATGATTAATGAAATAAACACTTTCAGGCAATTTTATTATTATTATTTTATCATGGCAGTTCCACTCAAAACATACTGAAACTCACATAGAACGAGGGTTCTAGTATCAGTACTTTGTGATATCATTCGGGATTTTATTTCATACTTTTGGTAGAATTCGACATTATTTAACAATAAAAACTTTTTCAAGAGCGTATATATCCAACGCTTCTCGAATATTTTTCTATCTGCATTATAGAACGATTCATCTTTGGCTTGTAGAGGTGTGTTTATGTACAGGGAAGTTATATTGCCGCCACAAGCTTTATTTCTGATTCCGAGTTTCAGGAATAGAACCAAATGTCTTTCCATAAAGCTTTGTCTATAAGTTTATAACTAGGTTAGATTGTTGATAGTTGGAAGCTAGCTGTATACAGAAACTATTTTGGATGGTAGTCGTCGTGTGACATTGTCGTGGTAAAAGACAGTGTTAATTTTCTTTATTTTTTATTTTATTTTTTAATACAGTTTATTCCTATAATTTATTAAAACTGCACATTAATCAGTATGAGTCATATAATAATAAAAATTTTTTCTCATTTATTTGAGCATCTACTTAGTTAGTGTAAAACTGCTTAAGATATTTTTTGTTGCATTAAGGGATTTTCATGAGCCCGAGTAACGACCACAATAACTGGAAAAGGTGCGACGTTGCAACAAAGAAAATACAATTCTTATATACATATGTATTTTGTTGTCGCCGATAGAAATACCTAGGTGTGCCTCTTGGGTCGGGTCAAGATATAAAAGGGTAAACTAGGTTCAATACTACAATTTATGGAGGAAATACGCTGAATCTGTAAAAGAGGCACAAAACATCTTTATGCGGCTGTGCAAAGTACCCAAATTTAATAACAATAATATTAGATCAAAAATTTTAAGATTGTGACTTATATATCTTCTGCGAGGAAATAAAGCAATTACCATTATAATAATAATATGTAATAGCAGTACTATTATTACTATTCTATATATACTACTTTCTATTAACAGTAGCAGGATAGTAGAACCAAATTAATTTGGTTTTCATAAACGTTTTTTAATTTTAATTTTCAATTTTTAATAGTCCAAAAATTTTGTCCATTTTACCTACTGTACATTAATATGGTTTATATTTTCCAATCGATAAAAAATACGAAACTATTGGATCCAAGCGTTTCAAAGATAAACCTTTTAATCTCTTCAGAAAGCAGCTGTTTTCTAGATAAATGCTTTTGTTGTTAATTAGTTTAATTTCCTTATTTTTAGAAACATACGCGAGCTATACTAGTTTTAACTAGAAATTCCAATGTTTACTAACTTATATGTCATGTCAAAGATATCCGAAAAAGTCAAAAATTGTATCAAAACAATCATACGTCACTCTTTTCTATCAACACTACAGATAACAGCCCAATCATTTAATACTCGTACTTCAGAGTTTTTGCATAGGAAATAAAATCATGCAAACTGAAATGAAATACTTCGTTTTTATAACACCTCATGTTTTTTTTTATTACATATCATGCACATTGCTTTATATATAATTTCTTTTTGTAATTGTAAATAAATGCAATGATACGCGTTTGTTAGAAATTAAATGTCTACAGACTCAGATTAATATGATTAGGGAATCTTATCAATTTCAACTGCTGTGAAATAGCATGAAATTTACAAGGAGAAATGCAATTAAAAAAATTTTAATAAGACAAATTCTGTTTTGATAACGTCAAACTGCAATAAAAAAAGTAATTAACATATATGAATCTATAAAAAAAAATTAATTTAAATAAAATATTAAATGTTACGTTTTTCCTTATTTTGTTTTGCTTCACAAATCATTTGAGTTAATTGAACTCTTGAAATCGTCAAGCTATATCCAAAAACTAAATATAATATTAACACAAAACTTATATTTTAAAAACTATAGTAAAATCTTGTCAAAATCTTACTCGAAGGCCTTGCTACCTTCGGCGCCCCTTTACCTACTGCTATTTTATTCTTAAGTAAAATAACACCAACCTTTAAACCCACGACTTGAATGTTGTAAGAGTCAGTGACCCCAATACCGATATATGTGAGGATCTTTTTCTTAACGTACAATTCCCGTCCCTCTTGAATCTCATAATAGAGGGACGAAATACGGTCGCTCTTAGGGTATACAAAAACGACCCTCAAATTGTTTGGCTATAATCATGAGAGGTTGCTAGTTGTAAGCAATCTTCCGATAACGAAGTTATGTTAGTTGCTGATCCAACTAACTT